ATAGGGGAACTCTGCATGTATCTCTCCTTGCTGTCAGTTCTCGGTCAGTTTCTTATTCCATCTGATGCTTGGCTGAGTTCTTTATCTCTTCATTTGATGCGCAGGGTTTCAGGATTGACGCGTGACTCTGTTTGACTTAGTTTTTCTGATCTTTGCTGCGGAGGGACTGCGTGGTGCTTCTGACTATAGCGCCATTGTTGCCTGGAAGATCTAGAGAGCACTTTTGAATGCTCACGTGTACCCCAGAGATGGTAGAGACGTCTCAGTGTGTTGCACTCCGGTGTTACAGCACTAAACGATGCCTGGCTTCCTCTCTGCTGTCCTAGGTTTCCAGCCCTGCAAGGGAGACTGGGTAGAGGCTGAGTACTGGATCCGGCCCGGCACATGGAGCAGCGAGGCTGTCACCGTGAAGCCCCTGCGATACAAGCGCGTGGACAAGGTAGTGCGGGTCACTCTTGTCCTCTGCTTCTGCTAGACCTGCTGCACTTCCTTAAGGAAACAGGGTGACAGAGTACTCACACGAGGAAGTTCTAAACCCTGTTCTCTACGTGCACGCCTTAAACGTCCTCCGAAGGAAAGAACGTGTGTTGGAGAATTGTTGGGGATGCATGGGTGGGGTGTGGGTTTGAGCTTGTTTGTCAGAACTGGGCGTGGTTTGGGTATTGCGACGGGTGTGAGAGCAGGGGGTTCAGTTGGCATGGCTGAGCATCAACTTAGCACCCTGTCCCTCAGCCCTTCACTGTCTCATCTCCCCTCCCCGGTTCACACTCGTTTAGTAGTATCCAGAGCTGTGGTTTTCATCCGAGACCAGAGCTCACCCCCAAAGAGTCAGGTGCCGGGTGAGGTGTCACCATACGCTCAGCTGGAGTTTGCAGCATGCTGGCCGGGCTGGGCCCCTGATGGGGAGGAGAGAGGTTAGAGCTGCACGCTCAGTGCTGCAATGACTGTGTCCCAGGTCTGCATTTCCAGCCTCTGTGGACGAAACGGGGTGATTGACGACAGCATCTTTTTCACCCTGGAGTCACTGAAGCT